CGAGTGACGTATAGTTTCGTGGTCACTTGGAAGAGAAGGCCATATTGGCCCCTAAAAAGCTGGGCGTGCTCAGCAGAGCGGGACAGTATTTCATGCCGGCACACCGCCTGCAACTTTACAAGGTGCAGATTCGGTCGCACATGGAATACTGTTCCCATATCTGGGCAGGGGATCCCCAGTACCAGCTCCTTCCACTTGACTGCATCCAGCGCAGAGCGGCTCGAATCGTCGTCGACCGAGTGCTTTCCGATCGGCTCGATTCACTGGTGCTGCGAAGAGATGTAGCATCTCTTTGCATTTTCTTTAGCATATACCATGGGGAGTGCACTGAAGAATTTAATGTTCACATTAATCCCAGCCGCCAAATTTTGTAAACGCACTACGCGGCAAACGTACCGATACCATCCACACCATCTTGATGCTTGGCGGTCCACCACTGTACGTTTCAAAAGGAGTTTTCTTCCGCGTATGACCTCTCTGTAGAATAGTTTACTACCGGCGATTTTTCCGGACCGATACGACCTGGGGACCTTCAAGAAAAGAGCTTACTCCTTTCTAAAGGACCGGCAACACACCAGCAATTCCCCTGGTGTTACGGTTGATCATGGGCGGTGGCAGTCACTTAACATCAGGTGAGCCGCATGTTCGTTTGCCCCCTTTTCTATAAAAAAAAATTGAAAGTACCCTACCAGCGTCACCAGCAGCTGCGTTGTACACATTTTTAAGTTGTTGAGGAGTAATTTCGACAATGCTACCAACAGAACCATACAAAAATGACAAGATTGCTTCTAAAGTATCTTTTTCAGACATTTGTTAAGGTTGTATAGAGAAATTGGGAGGAGATTTTAATTCTGAAAAGGATTGACCGTAGGATGATTCTGACGGAGCCCTTCCAGAGTTTTTCCGTTAGGAGGAGCCAGAATGTCGTCTGAGAATAAAATAAAGGATTCAACGTTACGAAGAGCTAGAATGTCGTCTGAGAATAAAATACAGTATGTATTTTTTAAGTCGCCATCCATAACTTTTGACTAAACTACTTTTTTAAATTAAATTTAGAACGAGATCGAGATAAATGAGTATTAATTGGGTAATCGAAATTTTGAAAAGATATCTATTTTAGTTGACACTTAATAGATTTATCTGTTGTTTTATTAAAATTAAAGTGCGATTATGCGAAAGCTAATCATTATTGCCAACTCTTTTCACAATTGCATTTTTAAAACTCCATGACAATGCTTTGGAAAGTGGAAAGTGGAAAGTTGTATCTTCGCATCTCTGTGAACTTTCAACCACAGATGCATTACGATAATAAGTTTAAATTTAAATTTGTTCCGAAAAAATTGTAAAATTTGTATCATTGATATTACTAATACAATTATAAATTTCTATGGCAATCGAGATACTTTTACTACGGTATTGTTTAATTTGTTTAATTAACCCCCTTTACCTTTAAACATTCTAACGACAATAGAATTTTGACACTGCAATAAATCCGGCCTCCAGCACTCAAAAGTATCTATATTAAATAACATCATATTGACGAGGAATGTGTTGTACTATGCATCTTTTATGTTCAAAAATAACTTACCTATTTTATACATATGTCTATAATATAGAGCTTTTATTTATCTATAGTAATATATTACGGACATGGCTCTTTTAACAAACATTTGTTCACCATAGGGGTTACTGACAGCCCTCTGTGCGGGGCATGCATGGGAGAGGAAGAAACGACGGCTCACGTGTTGCTGACATGTCCAGAAGTCGCTTCATACGAGGATAAACATCTCGGCACGCTGGGATCGCTCCCCGAAGTTACTTGCAACGTCAAAGGACTGTTGAACTTCTTCGGGGAAATATCATGGCTCGAATAACCACATATTCCTGCTCACACGCAAAATACGCGCTTAGACGTGGAGTTGCGGAAAACAGCCCGTCGTAAACTAACTAACTAACTAACTAACTGTCGCTGAACGGAAACAAAGTTTTAGTGCATTAAAACATTTAAAATTTATCTACGTTTCTACTATGTATATCTTGGAATCTTTTCCATTGAAAATTCTATTGCCCAGAAATTAAATTATTCTGAATTAATAAAAAAAATTGCAAGCGCATAAGCCAGAGAAAGCTGCCATCTAGGCTTCTCATTACGTTTGTTGTTGGTAGTTCTTTTACCTTTTTACCACTGTGTGCAGAAAAACAGTTCAATTAAAAGTTGTCAAATAAGATTATTAACTCTTATTATGCGAAATGATCTGTACAACTAGCCAACGCAGCAAGGCAAGCATAGTGGCGTTGTCCAGGGCAACACTCCTTTAATGCGAATAAGTAGATCAACTGCTATGGCAAGAGTGACAGACACAACTGTACTTGCCTTGCTTTATATACCTGTAGATATTAGAAAGGTCTAATACTATTTAAAATCACGAAAAAGCAACACTAATGCTTTGTATTTAGAGGGGCGCCACTATGAGATCTCGCACCACCTAAAAATTTTGCTAGGGCCACCACTGGTAAAGCCGTTGGTACTGCATCCCATCTCTTTATATTTGTGCCGGATTCCCATCCCATCTGACCGAGACTGATACGAGAGTTAGTTTGAAAGTGCGCCTGTGCTCCTAAAACTACACAAATAACGGCTAGTAAAAATACGCCTTAAGCAGGATTGGAAGGCCGACACTATTAATAAATAATTCATGTAATGAAATAAGCCTGAAAGGGTTTACAAATGAGTTATTGTGGTGTATTTAATTATTTTATTTTTGAAACAATAACACAAAATCTAGTACCTATTATATACTATTAAATTGCTTTAATTCATTGAAATAATACTAATTTTTACGGAATTTATCGCGTATATTTAACTTTTTTACCCGACGTTTCGAGAGCTTTACAGCACCCATGGTCACGGGAAGGACTGAGATGTTCAACGTCCAGCTGTCATAGTTAACCGCGGTTACCATAGATTAAAATTTAACTTTTGTTCCGATCTACACAGTATGAACTTATGGTATCATGGAGTCTTGCAGTTGTATGCTTGGGTTGGGATTTAATTTTATTTATTATAGGATCCCAAGCAGATGGTAGCACCCAGCCATCTTCTCTATTGAAATTAGGATGTTTTTTGATTTCAATAGCCTCGCGAATCATCCTTGGAAGGAATCGGTGTTCTTTAGCGAGGATTTGTGGTCTATCAAATCTGATGTAGTGACGGGGGCGATCCTGTACATGTTCACAGACTGCAGACTTCCCGGAGCGTCGATTCTTCACATCAGCTATATGTTCTTTGACGCGGGTTTTAATTGATCTTTTAGTTTGTCCTATGTAGGAGAGACCACATTCACAATCAAGCTTGTACACTCCTGCATCTTGTCTTGCCTTCATTTTGTCAGCGAGATTAAGGACCTACGTCTGGCAGACAATGAAACTATGGTCAGTTTTGATGTGCAGTCATTGTTTACATGCTTACCTGTTGAAGACTGCATCTCAATTGTAACTAGAAGGCTGGAAGAAAACAACATGCCCGTAGAATATGCAGTATTACTCAGACACTGCCTTACATCTGGCTACCTATTGTGGAAGGAGGAGTTCTACAAGCAAGTAGATGGTGTGGCGATGGGCTCACCTGTATCTCCCATTGTCGCCGACATATTCATGGAAGACTTTGAGGAGAAAGCCCTGCTTACTTCTCCCATAAATCCAAGATTCTACAAGCGGTACGTAGATGACACTTTCACAATTCTACCTTTAGATAAAGTAACTGCATTTTTAGACCATCTTAACTCTATAAATACTAAAATTCAGTTCACAATGGAGTTAGAGGCAAACAATTCCTTAGCTTTTCTAGATGTGTTAGTAATTCGGAATCCTGATAACACCTTGAGCCATACTGTGTATAGAAAAAAGACCCATACAGATAGATATTTAAACGGTGATTCTCACCACCATCCTTCACAGTTAGCTACCGTGGGTAAATCTTTGTTTCAGAGAGCACGAGGGATCTGTGACAGTAAACACCTGGCTGCCGAGCTCCAACATGTCAAGCAAGTTTTGCATGACAACAAGCTTCGGGTCCCGCGCCTACGTCACAGAGAACGAGTGAAGCCGGCCACAGTCGAGCGTGTACCTGCTGTACTGCCATATGTTAGAGGAGTCACTGACAAGATTGGCTACATCTTGAAGCGCGCTTCCATCAAAACATACTTCAAGCCGCCGAAGAAGATTGGTCAGTTTTTACCATCAGTCAAGTGTAACGTCCCTCTGCAAGATGCAGGAGTGTACAAGCTTGATTGTGAATGTGGTCTCTCCTACATAGGACAAACTAAAAGATCAATTAAAACCCGCGTCAAAGAACATATAGCTGATGTGAAGAATCGACGCTCCGGGAAGTCTGCAGTCTGTGAACATGTACAGGATCGCCCCCGTCACTACATCAGATTTGATAGACCACAAATCCTCGCTAAAGAACACCGATTCCTTCCAAGGATGATTCGCGAGGCTATTGAAATCAAAAAACATCCTAATTTCAATAGAGAAGATGGCTGGGTGCTACCATCTGCTTGGGATCCTATAATAAATAAAATTAAATCCCAACCCAAGCATACAACTGCAAGACTCCATGATACCATAAGTTCATACTGTGTAGATCGGAACAAAAGTTAAATTTTAATCTATGGTAACCGCGGTTAACTATGACAGCTGGACGTTGAATATCTCAGTCCTTCCCGTGACCATGGGTGCTGTAAAGCTCTCGAAACGTCGGGTAAAAAAGTTAAATATACGCGATAAATTCCGTAAAAATTAGTATTATTTCAATGCTTTAATTCATAAAAACTTTGTGAAAAGATTGTATCTTATTTCACACAAAATAGGCCAAAACTTTGTGTTAGGAAACTATTTTAGAAAATAGGTTGGTTACTTCTATTATCTTGGATAAATTTAAATAATCAACCTCTAAATAAGAGTCCATCTACTCCATAAAAGTGTAAATCTATACTTACAATTAATAATGTCAAAGCTCGGCGTACTTCGGCGAAATCGAATACCTTTACTAATTCTACTAGATCGGTCTCCGAAAGCTCAAAAATTATTATTATTCCTCTGTTATAATCGTTCGCTGTTAAGTATTCGGCCATCTGCAAATAAAGACAAAGAATTTATATTTCTTAAAAAGTCATGAACGGGGATGTAATTCTTTTTAACATTATGTCTTAGCACCAACATCATATAACATGTATGTGAAATATTATTATTTTTAAAGTTCTCACAGTTTTTTCTTAGTACATAATTTCTTAACCTATCATTCAGAGTCAGCCCTAACATACTTCTCGCATTTCTACGGCATTATACTTTTATGTTTTTTCTGTCACACCCAACTAACATAATATATTAAGGTAGGGAATTGGGGAGGGTAGAGATTGTGAGTTGCCTGCCATACGTACCTTTTATTACAAATTTTGACTTCTGACAATAGAGTAAAAAGACACACAGACACACGTGCGCATTTACTGTCCCGCATATCTTTACTTATTATTAAAGAAATATTAACTTCCCGCTAAGAAAAATGAACATTTTCAAAAATGGGGACGTTATTGGTTTCACCGATTTTCGAAAATTAACTTTTCATCAGATCTCGACGCGACGTTTTGAGATCTCAGGAAGCTATTCGGACTAATTTCACGTGGATGTCCGTACGGATGTATGTATATATCGCTGGCCCCGAGCAATATAGCGGTAAGCGCCTGTTACGCCCTTATTAATGTTATTTGATTTTTGACTTCTCTGAGTATCAATCTATCACTCTTATTTTTTCAGTTTTTTATTAATCTTTCTCTAGCATAAATGATAATAACAGCTTTATTGCATGGAAAATTATATAACTACTAAGTTATGTATTTGTGCATTACTCTAAGAATAACACAAAAAACCGGTGAACATCCTTACACTAAATTTCTAGACAAAGAGGAACAGTATTACATTTAACCGCGTTTTTGTAATTAAAATTATTACATCAATAAAATGTAGACACTTAATACGAAGTAATCACAAGAGATTTTATTCTGTACAGGCTATTAAGCCTTTCTTCCCGTAAAGAATATATTATATATATATATATATATATATATATATATATATATATATATATATATAAGATCTCACAATAGACTAAAATATTTTATGCACTACGCCGGTCGATAATGATTATTTAAATATTTTGATTTTACAATGTGAAAAAATTGCCGCCGAAGCTAATGGTTACAATAATTCTATAACTTTACCTGCAGATTTCTTAGTTGAAAACCAATCTACAACGATAGAACATGTTGACTGTTAACATCGAATCTAATGATTGCAACCAACTTACAACGATAGAAAATTTTCCGTCCGTATCTGATGTACCATCAATCATCAAATAACTAACTTGAAAAAAAGGCAATACGAATAAAATTGGTTAAGAATAAAAACAGAAACATTCAGGGCAATGTTATACTTTCAAAAGTTTGAAACCAAAACAATGGATGATACCTGTAAATGTAATAAGAAATACAGTGAAAAGATTTCTTAAGTCTCTCGGCAGACTATATTCGACGAGTTTTGGAAACTGATCGTGATCGTTTAAACCGAACGTGATCACTGCACGAGGATCAGTGGCACTATATCTTGCGCCATGTAAATACTAAAGATATAAAAATATAACTAGTAAGAACAAAAACAGGAAACAAACTATTAGCTATTTTTTAAGATAAATGGATCAAAATCAACTGGTATGCAAAAAAAATTAAATTATACACTTAGCTTATCCAGCAACAGGAAAAGGGAAATCTTAAGAAGTCATAGAAAACAGGGGCAAGTATGAAAATAGGCCACGAAAAATGAGTATTTCAACCGAGCAAAATGTCACTGCACATATAAAACTATTTCCAGTTTAAGAATCACATGATGTGCGAAGAGATACTAAGAATTTATACTTAGAAGAAACACTGAGCATTTCCAAAATGTACGGGCTGTATTCTGATGAAAGATTTAAGAGAGAAAATTATTCACATGATGTTAAGATGGCCACAAAACGACAGTATAAAACTGTATTTAATACAAAATTCAATGTACGTTGTATCGTCAAGCTGATGATGAAAGAAAAGACCAACTCCAAGAAGCTTATACAGAGCACATCAGAAAAAAGGAATTCAGAAAAAAGGAATGTGTCCGTGAACTCAAAACTAAAGATAAAATAGAAGTCGATCCTACGACCACTGTCGTCGCTATATATGGTCTGGAAAAAGTTCTGACGATTCCTCAATCAGAGATAGGAATCTTTCATTATAGGCAAAAGTATTCTATATAGAACTTTACAATTTATAGCTCATTAAGTGGAAGAGGTTACTGCTATCTTTGGCACTATCAAGTGGTTAAAAAAGGTGCTAATGAAATCGACAATTGTGTCCTAAATTTCATTGAAACTAAGAGCCTACGTGACATGAAGAATTTCATATTTTATTAGGGTTGGGCTTTTTTTTTTTTTTTTTTTTATTTTTTTTTTTTTTTATTTTTTTTTGGGGGGTTTATTCGGAGATTTTTTTATTAGAAAGAGTGGGGGGGAATGACGCCGCCCACCTTCTACAAGGTTGTTTTATTAATGAGAGGGAGGTGGTTCGCATAAAGCAATTTTTGTGATTTAAAGTTAATTTTAATTTTTTTTAATATTAAAGTAACCAAGTATAGTTTGAATTTACCGTTTGTTTCCTACTGGACCGATTTTTACTTTTTCCTAAGTAAAGTATGGGTTAACATAATATATAGTACTTTGAAACTGGTGATAGCCAGTCTGAGTGTGCCAGTCGATGCATTCTCTTCTATCGGACGCGCAAAAAAGAACCACACAATTTATATTCCTGATCAAATGTGTGGCATAATCATGAATGCCAAGATAAATGGTAAAAAATTTCATCTTAAAAAAATGGAACAACGTAATTTATTCGATTTAAAAGAGATAATGGACAAAAGATGCTGGTTGCGGGCAGACCAAACTAATGAAAAAGTTCTGTGTACAAAGATTCACGAAATCAAAATTACTCGAGCCCATTCAGATGTTATTTACTTGAACTATAACTTTGACGATGAGTATATTTCTTTTAATACTGCATCAAATACCAGATCTTCAAGAGGAAGACCCAAAAACGCTAGTTGCTGATGTTTCAGGAGATGAAATGAGAAATCTGTGCAAAGAGCCACTCACCTGACCAAAACCACTTTATGATGAATTGATGAGTCAAAACTAAAGCAAATACATTATCATACATTTTACTAGCTTTCCAGGCAGACGTTGTTCTGCCCTTTTCGACGAGAATTTGTCATGTCCTATTAAAAATCCTTTAATTCGCAAAAAAATACGTGTGGCACTCGGTGACTGCCGCGGTAAAGCTATTGCATAGCATTTTTTATCAACTTATGCAATTATAATTATTTTTTTTATTTATGCAGTCTTTGATATTAAATCAAGTTACACTTTTTGAGCGTGGTGACCGATAAGAAAACAATTTTTTTTCTCTTATTGAATAAATGAGAAGTTAATATTGTTTAAAATATTTTTAATATTTTATAATACATGTAGGTTATTCAGGAATTTTTATCATTGAGTTAGCAGCTAGTGTACACGCATACGTCTAGTCGCACGCACACAAACACCGTGCCGAAGTCTGCCGAGTGCCGAAGTCTGCCGAACTGAAACGACGTTAGACGATGCACGGCTTTCAACGCCACACCTCCGTGCCCGTCGGAGTGGGGAGCGTGAGGTTTTTTTTTCGTTACGGAATTTCTGGATTCGGTCCCCGCGCTCAAGGCCCGCGATAGAAGCTATGCAATAGCTTTAAAAAAATGTGGGCATAAAAACTATCCTATCTCCCAAGTTGGACCATATTGCAAACGGTGTGCAAATTTGATTAAAATCGGTTGAGTAGTTTAGGAGTACATCGCGGACAAACAACGTGATACGTAATTTGTATATATTAAGATAACAATTTGCATTGTGTTGAAAACTCTGAAGAAGAAATCGATATTGAAAGCGAAGATTCAAGTTAAAGTAGCGTAATATTTTTAGCTTCCCGCTAAGAAAATTGAAAATTTTTAAAAATAGGGCAGTTATTGGTTTCACCCCGATTTGTTTTTATTTTTTAAGGTATTGACCATTTTATTTTTGTTTCTAAAGTTTAATAATTAATTAAAAATACATGACTTTATTCAAATTAAGGTAGTAGAGTATTTTTTCTTTTTAAGGGATAGACCGTTTTATTTTTGTTTCCAAAGAATAATAGTTAATAAAAATTATATGATTTTATTTAAATGAGGGTAGCATAGTAGTTTTTTATTTTTAGGGGCTTGACCGGTTTATTTTTGTTTCCAAAGTTTAGTAGTTAATAAAAAATATATGATATTATTCAAATTAATGTAGCATAGTTTTTTTTCTTTTTTAAGGGATTGACCGTTTTATTTTTCTTTCCAAAGTTTAATACTCAACAAAATATGTAATTTTAAAGGGAGTTTTTATTTATACAAAATAATAATTATTTAAAATTTAATTAAACAAGATTAAGGTAGTAGTAGCATTAAAAAAGTGATTAATTTCATAAAATACTGTAATAAAATGATAAAAATAAAGCTTAATTACAATGTAAGGTCGGTCTGTTACAATGGTTACATAAAATATGTTTCATTTAAGGATTCTAAAATAGCGATTAGTGGATGATACAGCTAAGCTTTCACTATAAAATTTCCTTGAAGAAGGTGGTAATCGGCTGGTACACTCGAGATCTAAAGTGGAAATCACGTCGTATTATATTTTTACATTCCCGAATCTCAGTGGTCAGTGTGTTTAAAAAGTCGTTAATGATGTTGCAATTGGAATGGTATGAGCTATAATTTATATTATATATTTTTTCAATTATTTCATCAAATATTTATACCATCAAAAGTATTTTTAAAAGGTTAAATTGGTAAAAAAAATTAGCTTTCATTTGACATATTGAACACCTGTTTTGGAGCACTGTACGCTGAAATATAAACAAATTAGCTTCTTTTATTTCTCCTGTAAAATTTGATTTTTGATATTACCGCTTTATTGCCCGGGGCCAGCGATATGTGTGTTTGTGTAAGTATGTAAACCTTTCATAACTTTTGAACCTCTTGATTGATTGAGATACGGTTTGCGGCATTCTAAAGATCTTAATGTGAAATAGATGATAATATGAACTGATTCGGACGAGTAGCTTTTGAGAAATCTCAAAAATAAAATTTTGGAAAAACTGTTTTTTAGAATAACTTCTAAATGACTTGACCGATCGATTTCAAAAACGAATCATTCATTTGTTCATTCGTTCGTGAGATATCGAAGGAGAAAGAATAAAAAAAAAACGTTTTTTGAATATAACATCGTGATTTCGCAACATAATTTGGTGAAATTTAGAATGCATTTGAAATTAGCGGGAAGTTTCAGGCCTGCAGGGTCAACCAATTTTTTTATAATGTTATCTTCATATAGAAATATTATTCGTAAATATGACAAATAGTCTTCCTTATTTATCATAGCGAGATCTCCTAATACAAGTATTTTTATACTTTAAAGGAAATCTCTACTGTCCTATATTTGTACTGCAAACCTATTGTTACTAAATAAACATTTGTTGATTTTTTAATAATAACAGGCTGTGAGGCACTTCTCCCTAGATCACAGATGTGGCAACCCATCTGTATCCTTCTTTGTTTGAAGTTGTCCGTGGAGTGCAGTAACTACTTGCTGTCAGGTAGATTTCAAGTTCGTTTGTCACTTTTGTTTTATCTTATAAAAATGAATAAATAATAAAAACGATGGCGAATTGGTGGAATATATTACATTAAGTGCTATTAACATATTTGTTCTTATGAAACTCGAATAAAGGTTTGAAATAAAAAGACGAAAATTCTTACCGCAACTGTCCATCGGACGTAACTTGTTATAATGTCCTTATTAAAACGTTTTCCAATATTTTTTACTACATAAATTCTGTAATAGTCATCAGTCATTTTGGGTAATATCCCGTCCCATCTGAAAATGCATTATGAATATATTAGTAAGCTTTCGCAATAGCAGAAACACATCGTCCTCTTTGGTATCAACCGAAAAAATGTCACTGGAGCTATCGTCATAAAATTAATACCATAAAATTTTACACATTTTGTAGCAAAAGCATTGCTATAGGGTATCAACACATGGATTTTCTGATATTGCACTCTGTTGTTAGTCTATTTTTGACATCTACCATACGGGCATTGGGACAAGCCGTGGTAGCTCTGAGGGTTAACACTTGCTGTAAATATAACAGAACGCGAGTAACCCGGGTTCGATCCCCGCCGACCAACGAAATTGTTAATTGCAATTTTAGGTGCTGATTTATCACGTACTTGGCAGTGGCGGAAAACATCGCGACGAAACTTGCATGTTTGAGGAATAAAGAAAAAAATATTTTGAAGATATGTGAAGTTCGCCAACACGAATTGGGGCAGCGCGGCAGACACTTCCTTGTCCTAAAACCCTCTCAGAAATGAGGGGAGGCCTGTACTCAGCAGTGGGACGTCTATATAGGCTGTACGTATATGGGCATTGAACATCAAATGGAAAAAAAAATGTATGCCCGATGCCCAGTTATTAAGACTACTTCTTTTTAAAAGGGCCGGCAATGCACCTGTAAATTCCCTGGTGTTTCCCCGTTTCCCCGTTGTTATCATCAGGTGACCGTATGCTTGTTTGCCCTTTCTTATATGAAAAATATTGGGGTTAGGGGTTTCCCCTAACCACGGAAAACTGCGCCGAACATTTTATAGAAATAGGTCAAAATATGATTGCATACTGCATATTAGGGAGATATTTTGTACGGTAGAGGGATGATTGAGGATTATGAAAATTAGTAAAAAGTACTTACATAATGTCCGAATACTTGTATTCAGTCTTAAAATCGATAAATTTGTAGAACTGCGGCATCAACGTCCGAAGAGTGCAATTTCTGTCTATTTTTAATTTTGCGCGCTCCACTGAACCCTTGCAAAAAATTATTCTTCTTTCCAAATATTCTCTAGCTGAAACAAGCAATATTATCGATAAAAATGATAATATAAAAAAGAATCCTGACCATCCAAAATACGTGGTAGCCACCTTAAGCGCACTATGGATGCAACATGCACCAAATATTAATCTATTAAATGACAGGATTTCTTTCTCTTCCTTTTTATTATATTTTCTTACAAGACTCCTTTCCGCAGATCATAAAGATCGCAATCCAATTAAAACTGAGGCACATCTCTAGCTGTGTATTCTCACGAGGATAATTATTTAAATTAAAATATGATATAAAATAGTACTTAAACTTAAAAATTAGTAATAAAATATTTTTTCCTTTGTATTACGTGTTTTAAGGACAGCTTCATAATGAACAACAAAATATAATGTATGAAGCGACGCTTTGTTTTCGTACTCCAAGAAACTATAAATAGGCTAATTGAATATAAAACGTCTTCTTCGAAAAAATATAAACCTTTATTGTGAAATTAACAGCGAGCGCTTAGCTCCTGAGCTACGACGGCTCACTACTAGTTATATCTGTTTAAAATAATTAACAGCGAGCGCTTAGCTCCTGAGTTACGACGGCTCACTACTAGTTATATCTGTTTAAAATAATTAACAGCGAGCGCTTAGCTCCTGAGCTACGACGGCTCACTATTAGTTATATCTGTTTAAAATAATTAACAGCGAGCGCTTAGCTCCTGAGCTACGACGGCTCACTACTAGTTATATCTGTTTAAAATAATTAACAGCGAGCGCTTAGCTCCTGAGCTACGATGGCTCACTACTAGTTATATATGTTTAAAATAATTAACAGCAAGCACTTAGCCCCTGAGCTGCGACGGCTCACTTCTAGTTATATCTGTTTAAAATAATTAACAGCGAGCGCTTAGCTACTGAGTTACGACGGCTCATTACTAGTAATATCTGTTTAAAATAATTAACAGCAAGCGCTTAGCTCCTGAGTTACGACGGCTCACTACTAGTTATATCTGTTTAAAATAATTAACAGCGAGCGCTTAGCTCCTGAGTTACGACGGCTCACTTCTAGTTATATCTGTTTAAAATAATTAACAGCGAGCGCTTAGCTCCTGAGTTACGTCGGCTCACTACTAGTTATATCTGTTTAAAATAATTAACAGCGAGCGCTTAGCCCCTGAGCTACGACGGCTCACTACTAGTTATATCTGTTTAAAATAATTAACAGCGAGCGCTTAGCTCCTGAGCTACGACGGCTCACTACTAGTTATATCTGTTTAAAATAATTAACAGCGAGCGCTTAGCCCCTGAGATACGTCGGCTCACTACTAGTTATATCTGTTTAAAATAATTAACAGCGAGCGCTTAGCTCCTGAGCTACGACGGCTCACTACTAGTTATATCTGTTTAAAATAATTAACAGCGAGCGCTTAGCTCCTGAGCTACGACGGCTCACTACTAGTTATATCTGTTTAAAATAATTAACAGCGAGCGCTTAGCTCCTGAGCTACGACGGCTCACTACTAGTTATATCTGCTTAAAATAATTAACAGCGAGCGCTTAGCTCCTGAGATACGTCGGCTCCCTACTAGTGATATCTGTTTAAAATAATTAACAGCGAGCGCTTAGCTCCTGAGCTACGACGGCTCACTACTAGTTATATCTGTTTAAAATAATTAACAGCGAGCGCTTAGCTCCTGAGCTACGACGGCTCACTACTAGGTATATCTGTTTAAAATAATTAACAGCGAGCGCTTAGCTCCTGAGCTACGACGGCTCACTACTAGTTATATCTGCTTAAAATAATTAACAGCGAGCGCTTAGCTCCTGAGTTACGTCGGCTCCCTACTAGTTATATCTGTTTAAAATAATTAACAGCGAGCGCTTAGCTCCTGAGCTACGACGGCTACTACTAGTTATATCTGTTTAAATTAATTAACAGAAACAGAATCAGAAACATTTTTATTCAATATAGATTATAAGTAATACTTATTGAAAGTCAATTTTTTCATTTACAGATGTTTAAAAAAAAAACCTCTATCCTGGGATGAACCAGCAAGAAACCCAGCGCGACTATTTTTTTTTTTTAAAATAATAGCTTACAATCATGTTTACAAGACAAATTAGAAATAGCTTGGTAGCGATCACCCTTCCCAGGGGTTATTATCATCCATAAATTCCTTAATATTATAATAACCCTTTTTATACAAACTTAGTTTAATAAAATTTTTGAACTTTGCGTATGACAAATTTTGTATATTTTCTGGGATTTTGTTGTAAAAGCGTATACATCGCACCAAGAATGAATTGCTGACTCGGTGGAGTCGAGCAACTGGTACTACTAGCTTGTGTCTGTTCCTAGTATTTACAGAATGAATATCACTTATTTTTGCAAAACTACGTATTCTTGTGTACGTACATTACATTTTCATAAATGTATTGAGAGGCCAAAGTTAATATATTAATTTCCTTAAATTTTTGTCTCAGTGACTCTTTTTCTTTTAAATTATATATTGCTCTAATGGCTCTCTTCTGTAAAATAAATATAATTTCAGTGTCAGTCGCGTATCCCCATAGCAAAATACCATACGACATAATGCTATGGAAATAACTAAAGTAAACAATTCTAGCTGTTTCAACACTGGTAAGAGTTCTAATCTTTTTTACAGCATATGCTGCAGAACTAAGTCTGCTAGCTAGTTTTGTCCTATATATAAGAAAACATAGTTCATCGATTTATAAAATAAATTATTTTACATTTATTTCGGAAGACACCATTACAACGCGCGCGATTAGTTCGATGTGGCTTGAGATCCCCGCTCATCGTGTGGTGAGCCGCTTGCCGCCGGCACATCCACTGCGGCCACTTGTATAAACGAGCAAACACGTTATTTTATTAATTGCACCTATATAACTGAAATAAATTCTATTCTCACGTCTATTAATGGAACCCACTGTAAATGAGACAGATATTTAATTATACCTCGATATCTAAGACACTGAGTATGTGGAATACTCCTTTAAGTGAGCCAAATTTGTAGGGCTCTTAAGGTCCCAGTTATCCAGGTTTCACTGTATAATGTGAGTAATATCCCAAATACGTCATACGTGGCAGTTATATTAGATGTATAGTTGTAACACGAATGGGTCGGCTCGACCGGGGAAAAACCACGCTCTCACAGAATACCAGCGTGAAATAGTAGCTTAATGCTGCTGTATTTCGTATGGTGAGTGTAGAGAACCGGAGATCCTTTTTACTGGAGACGAGGTATTCCATCTTAGTCCTCACGGGTGACAACGCATCTGCATTTTGATTTGTAATCGAGAATAGATGATGTAAATGTCTATGGGCCACAGCAACCACTTACCATCAGGTGGAATGTGTGCTCGTTTGTCACCCTATTCTATAATATATATATATATATATATATATATATATATATATATATATATATATATATATATATATATATATATATATATATATATATATATATATATATATAGAAAGAGAGAGAGAGATCTCTTTACGGTAAATGTTGATCAGACGCGACTTCACGCGAGCACTTCGTTGATCCGAAAACGCATGTTGATCCGGCGCCTTTTGTTGATCCAACATGCATTTCTGTTAACTAATGCCGACCGGATCAAGATCTGCACTCACGAGACCGTTTGCTAGCGTTTGCCGAAGTTGATCCGATATACAAATCCACCTTGCGATGGTTACGGAAAATGTTGATCCGATTTAAATGAGCCAATCAGAGCACAGCAAATGATAAGATAAACAATCGGATTGGCCGAAGCAGCCGCGACGTTGCCGTTTCGTATCTTTGGCGGTACAAGCTACAGATTAAATGCGTGTTCAATAAAATAATGCATTCAGGGTGCTGTTGGATCTGCCTCGTTATTGTAATGCATCGGGTATGTTCGCGGATGCTCGTGTGGATTGTTTCTACACCACCATGCGTAAACGATGCACATCCCTGGTGCGCAGGGTGCGGGCCAGTTCCAATGGTATCCTGAGGGCGTTTTCTGACAGGTTTGATTGTCAGTACCTGAACCATTGTCATATGGTGCACGTGCTGACTAATCGGGCCTGTCTTAGATATAGTTTTAAAATTAGGTAAATAATTTTAACTTTTACTAACATTAGTTTTAAGATTTGTATTATTACTAACATCAATGATCCTTGTGGTCGAAATAAACGACTTTTTTTTAAACGTATAACTCAACAACTCGACAACGCCTCTTCTTGTAGCGGAAGTGGTGGCAACGGCGACATAAGGTATTCGTCTGAGTGCGTGTTTGTGTGTGTGTGTGTGTGTGTGTGTGTGTGTGTGTGTGTGTGTGTGTGTGTGTGTGTGTGTGTGTGTGTGTGTGTGTGTATGTGTGTACGCGCGCGGGTGTGAGCGTGTGCTTGCGTACGTGGGTGTGTGAGTTTGTGTGTGCGCGTGGGTGTCGGTGTATGTGCGTTCATGTGTGTTCGTGTGAACGCATGTGCGTGCGCATGTGTGTGAGTGTATAAATAGATTTTGGGAGATATTAGAATATGTATAAGAAATTATACTTCAGATTATATGTATAAACATAAGCATGTAAGACGAGAACTACTGCCGACAAACTGTAGTTTGGCAGATAAAAATGTTAAAAACGTTTATTGTATAATTGGAAGAAAATAAATTAAAAAAAAACTGTGGTGTTTTTTTGAGTAAGCGTCTGTGTGTATGCGTGTGTTTTTGTGTTTGCGTATGCGTATGCGTGTGTGTGTGTGTGTGTGTGTGTGTGTGTGTGTGTGTGTGTGTGTGTGTGTGTGTTGTGCGTGTGTGTGTGATGTGTGTGTGTGTGCGTGGGGCGTGTGTGTGTGTGCGTGAATGCGTGTGCGCATGTGTGAATGTGTGCGTGTGTGTCCGGCAGTGTGCGTGTGTGAGTGTGTGTATGCGTTTGTGCGTGTGCGCATGTGAGCATTTTTGAGCGCGCGTGCATGTTTGTGTGTGTGTGTGTGTGTTACCATAGACCAGTTAACATGTTTTCTACATCT